GTTCATGTTCAGCTACAGAGACACAAACGTTTCTACTCTTATTTTGAGGGGGTGAAGCTTAGTGTTCATGTTCAGCTACAGAGACACAAACGTTTCTACTCTTATTTTGAAGGGGTGAAGCATTTCATTTCCTCACCCTCAGGAAGACCTCCTGCTCCTCGCAGGCCGGACCTTTCCCGTTGGACACCGTCATGTTCTTGGCGAACTGGAAGGTCCGACTGTGCAAGAAGAGGACGCGTTTAGTCGCTTCTTTCTGCTTCAGACGGTCCAATAGGAGGTCTACACGAAAATCTGGAGGAGACGAAGGAGGGCATGAAGCTGGAGAAGTTCTTATTAATGGAGACATGACGTCTGTGAATGCTGCAGAGAAGCTGCTGGTGTTTAACTCACTGAGAGTAGCTGGAGCTCCATGACCGCTGGCCTTCAGACAGTACTTCACTGTGAAGCTGGACACACACACACTTTTTAGAGTCAAATAGACCATAAAGCAGGGTATGCTTTAGGGGCGGGGCTACACGGTGAACCTGAGAACCTGATCTCGTTTAGGTGTTAATATCAAGCGTCCACATTGAGATTGTTCTGCTCTGTAAAGGTCAAACCTCCAACGTTATGTCTGATAGTAGCACACTCATCTCAACTGAGCTCAACTGAGGGGAACAGGAAGTGGAAGGACTACCAAAATAAAATAATGATTATAATAAATCAATGAAGGGAGTGAAAAACTCACCACGACACCAGAGTGGAGGTACCAGGATGTGTGCAGGTCTTCTCCTCCGGGTTGATGATCTGAGGTGTCATGTCCAACGTGGCGTTCACACTGATCACTGGACGAGCTCTGACACACACACACACACACACACACACACACACACACACACACACACAGTGAAGGGGTTAATGTGTCCCAATAGTTTCTATAAAGTCAGCAGGAGAAACCTGAATGAAAACAGCAGCTCTTTGATATCAGAGGTGGCCTCGCTCATTAAACCACTCACTGACACACACACAGCCACAGCAGGGGGGGGAACAATCACACACACACACACACACACACACACACACACTGTATGATTACCTGTATAAAACAGCTTTGTCTGCTCCGAACACTCCCACTATTAAATCTGAAAGACAGACACAAACATCAGCAGCTCATTTGATCCCTGCTGAGCCACCACACATATATCTATATTTATATATGCGTGTGTGTGTGTACCTGGATATCCATTCTGGTCTATGTCAGTGTTTCCAGTCATGGAGTACCCAAAGCTAGCAGGCATGTAGCTGGACGCCCACTTTCCCTGGAGGACCTGAGAGACGAGACACAACTATGAGTCAACACAACCAGCAAACAAATACATGTGTATACATTGAACCTTCCTGTTGAATGTTACAACAGTTTAGTGTCTAATGTTCTGACGATTGGTCAGAAACAACAGAGTTTAATCCAGTTATCTAAACAGTTATGGGTTATGTGACAGTGAAACTAAAAAATGAACAGTTTGAGAGAAACAAAACAACCACAAAGAGAAACAAAACAACCACAAAGCAATTAAAAGATGTTCTTGAACATCTACTCCATCTGTTGAGGAAGACCATGTGATACGATCGAAAGCTGTACAACAAGTACTCAATGGACCTTGTGGAGACTTGTCTTTAGTTCTGCAGGTATTTGGTCATAAACCAAAGTATCAGACACATAAACATGTTGACCAGATGATGGCGATACATGTAAATTCAGAGGATCAATGAAATGAAGTGCAGCTACGATGCTAACGTGGCTAATAAATGGATTGTGGTATTTACCTGAGAGGGGGAGGAGTCAGGCCCCTGAGGACGACCATTGTGGATGTAGACCAGGCCGTAACGGTCGGGGCCTCCATAGGGAGCAGAGATGGCCACATCTGGAGGGAGACGAGAGACGTGAGGTGAGCCAGGAAGGATCAAGGTCCGGGTCCGGACCAGTGTGTGTGTGTGGGTGTGTGTGTGTGTGTGTCTCACCGTTGTACCCGTCCATGTCCAGGTCTCCCAGTGCTGTGATGGCAGAGCCGTATCTGGCGTAGACCTCAGACCCTGTGAGCATCTGAGGGGGATGGAAGGAGAATCTACCTCGACCCAGGTACACCGACACCTGAAGAACACACACACACACACACACACACACACACACACACACACACAGTCAGCTGTAGTAAATATGGAGGTTAATTTCTATTTTCTTCACCTTTGCAGGATAATATTTGCATGTTAACTGTTCTTACAGGTAGAAGCTGAGTGATGCATTCTGGCATTTAAAGTGCATTAAATTACTGCTAATGCTGACGCAAACACTTCCTGCTGCTTCAAAATAAAACAATTCAACTGGACAAACACAGGGCTGTTATTGTGAAACAGCCACAGGAAACAATGTGTTCATCAGACACTAAACCAGACAGCTGTCTATTATTTGATGTTGTAAATCTGTCACAAGCATGTTGACGTGTTCATGCTTATTATGCACCACGTTTATTGTGTTGACATGTTAGCATTTAGTGTGCTATCATGCTAACCGTAGCGCTAACAGTCATTCGTCTCCTCATGTACTTTTGCTGCCACTGTAGTTTTATTCACACGTGCACCAGAACTAACTGAACCAATGTAGTTTTAGCAAAGCAGTGTGTGTGTGTGTGTGTGTGTCCTACCTGTCCCACCTCCCTCAGTTTTCCATCTGAGCCTCTGTCCATGAAGAGAGGAGCTCCAACCAGCAGATCTACCAGACTGACGGAAGTGAAGGTACAGTCATAAAGTATGTGAAGTGTCTCTGCTAACACACATTCCTCACTGAACACACATGCTGGATGTATTTCCTGCCTCATAAAACACGTGTAAACTATTTGTTTAGTTGTTTGTAATTGTCTGCGACCTGCATTGTTTACATGAACTTGTGGTCTTCTTCTCCTTTTAATTGGCGCGCTGCAGCGTATTAGAGCCACCAGCTGCTACTGAAACATGTGCCATGTTAAAACCTGATTTAGTCCGTCACCATCTTCTTTATTTTGCAACCAGAATTGACACAAAGGGGGCGGAGCTAAAAGTGGAACCCAATGCTGAATAAAACATTTTTATGACCAAAATGTTATAATTAACTTTGATGAAGTGAAATGTTTAATGTTGTAAGATGAAAAACACGGATGACTTCCAGACCCCCTCTGGTAGAGACCTGTCAATCACTGTGTAGCCCCGCCCTAAAGCATCCCCTGCTTTATGGTCTGTTTGACTCTAAATGGACCATAATGTACTAAATGAACATCATGCTGTATTGAAGAAGACTTGAAACTAGAGATTGAGACCATAAACTCATGTTTACAATGTTTACTGAGGTAATAAGTCAAGTCTTACCCGTCACTGTTAACATCTGTAGCAGCCACCGAGTGTCCAAAGTAGGCCGCCATCTACAGACAGAGAGGAGGAGGAGGAAGGTTTAATACTAAAAATATGAATTCTGTTTCCATTACATCACACCTTTAGTTCCTCTTATACTTGAGCTTCTGCTCTTCTTCGTGTGTCTTTGATTTTACATACAGTATTTAATGAGCTCTGATAGAGGAAACCTGAGAATCGTTGTTCATAAGACAATAAACTACTTTAGGATAAGTATAAAGAGTTCACTGGAGGACAGACTGGTTCAACAAACAGCTGTTCAAACTCTTGTTGCTCTTGATGATGGTTGTGACTAACATGAGAGAGCGAGCGAGAGCGAGAGAGAGAGAGGACGAGTTATGGAGGCCAGACAGGAAAGTGAGGAACTCTGTCATTAACTGATGGAAGCCTCTCATTTACTCCCTTCACTCTCCTCCCTCCTCTCTCCTCCCTCCTCCCTCTCTCCTCCCTCCCTCCTCTCTCCTCCCTCCCTCCTCTCTCCTCCCTCCTCTCTCCTCCCTCCCTTTACAGATTTAGGAACTTCTTGTGTTGCTGCTCAAGAAAGAATATTTATTTTCATACAAGAATAATAAAGAAGATTCTTTTCTTAATTAAATGTATTTTTTTCCTCACAATATCATAAAAAAGAGAGTATCCCTCCTCCCTCCCTCCCAACTTCCTCCTCCTCCCACCTAAATGTTTACTCCCTCTTCTAACCCTTAAGAAGCAGTATGAAGGCAGAGTGGTGCAGCTCACCTGTGTTCCTGTGAAGTTCACCATGGACTCCATGTTGAGGCCATTGAAGATGTTCACCTGCAGCAGAAAACCACGACACAGGAAGTCATCCGAGCTCCAGGGATTCATTCAAGTGTGCGTGTGTGTGGGTGTGTGTGTGGGGGTGTGTGTGTGTGGGGGTGTGTGTAGGTGTGTGTGTGTAGGTGGTTGTGTGTGTGTGTAGGTGTGTGTGTGTGTGTGTGTGTAGGTGTGTGTGTGTGTACCCCTTTAACACTTACATAGCCCAGAGCCTTGTCTCCTCGAGGTACTCCGGTCACGTAATCTATGCAGGAGAGAAAAGTCACAACTCTGGTGACGACTTCTGTCGGCGCGAACCTTAAAAAATTCTAAATGATATCCTTTAATATTTTTTTATTGTCATCTAAAGCTGTTACATAAAAAACACTAAATTCAAATGATAATGAAAGATTGTATTTTACTGAAGTATAATAATGACTTTAGAGCTCGTGTTCAAACTACTGGATTTATTCAAGTTTATCACCAAAACTACATTTTACAGATGACATGTGAACACCTCATGATAACGTTATAATGTACCTTCAGCCAGTACTAATGTTCACTGAGCAGAGCCTGAAGGCATCATCATGTAACTGAAGTGAACCTCCGTTGGTTAGCCGTTAGCGGTGCTGCTAACGGGTGGGGGGGTCTAATCTCTAATCTCACCTTCTTCTCCGTCTTCGTTGAAGTCTCCGACCGTCACAGAGTATCCTGAGAACCACGAACACATGATGTCATCACAGTTCAGACAGCTGTGATTCATATACAGATGTTGATACTCATGGTGTGTGTGTGTGTGTGTGTGTTACCTAAATAACTGTCGTCGTACTGAGCGCTGGCTGACTTGGTGGTGAGGGTGTGTCCATACGGAGTGATGTACTTTCCATCAACTTGGGCAAAGATCTCAGAGAGATCGTCAGAAATCAACTGACCTGAAGAGAGACGAGGAGAACATTAGAGAAGAAGACGAGGACAACAGCAAGAGAAGAAGACGAGGACAACAGCAAGAGACGAAGACGAGGACAACAGCAAGAGAAGAAGACTTTGATATCGTTCATGAGTTTGTTTGCAAGCTTTAGGTTTAGAAAAATATTCAGAACATGTAATTGAAGGAGTCACAGAGACGCAGCGTTAACAAGTGTCTAATCACAACCAGAGGGGTGTGTGTGTGTCTGTCTGTGTGTAGCTGTGAGTGTGTGTAGTTGTGAGTGTGTGTGTCTGTCTGTGTGTAGCTGTGAGTGTGTGTAGTTGTGAGTGTGTGTAGCTGTGAGTGTGTGTAGCTGTGAGTGTGTGTAGCTGTGAGTGTGAGTGAGTGTTGACTCAACAGGAAACAATAATTAGGCTAACACACCCCTGGAAGAGAGAGAGAGAAAACATGTGTGTGACTGAGTCAGGATACAGTCTGTGTGTCACACCCTGTACAGTCAGACTACACCCACACACACACACACACACACACACACCCTGCCAGTAGAAGCTGCCTGGTCCTCCCACCACCACTCTGTTCTTCTGAAAGCACAGAAAAAAGAAAGAATGAAACTTTTATCACTTTCACTTATCATTGGACCTCATCAGATCAGTGATGAAGTACTCAGATTACTCCCTTTGGTAAAAGTACTAATACCACACAGTAAGAATAAGTACCTTCAGGAAGTCGACGCTGAATCCGGCCTGACAGAAGCCCTGCCCCTCAGGTGAGTTGGCATCTGGACAGAGAAATAAAACAATACAAAGTTAACAGATGATACACTATCATTAATATTATTATTATTATCCAGTCTATACATCCAACAGTCAGAGTCCTTAGAATATAACTATAAAACGTTTTAGGTACTTTCAATACTAAAACCCTGAAGAGAGAAGTGACATATTTATATATATATATATATATATATACACACACACTAGTGTCTGACTGAGGACTGTAGTTCTATGGTCCTGTAGTTCTATGGTCATGTAGTTCTATGGTATTGTAGTTCTATGGTCATGTAGTTCTATGGGCATGTAGTTCTATGGGCATGTAGTTCTATGGGCATGTAGTCATGTAGTTCTATGGTCATGCAGTTCTATGGCTTGCAGTTCTATGGTCTTGTAGTTCTATGGTCTTGTAGTTATATGGTCATGTAGTTCTATGGTCCTGCAGTTCTATGGTATTGTAGTTCTATGGTCCTGCAGTTGTATGGTCCTGTAGTTGTATGGTCCTGTAGTT